TCCAGGATAGAGGTGCATTTTGCCGCCGCTGCTGTCAAGAAGGTGCTAGATGCCCCGTAGGCCTGAAAGTTTCCTGGCTGCCTTTTGGGCCAGGTTAAGCACGTGGGGCTTCATTGTCACTGGAGAGTCGCACGTCGTTCCCAACATGTTAATGTCATCTCTGAACTCTTAGGGTGTTGCCATCCTAGGGTTCTGAAATATGACATTGCAAGCCTGTTAGATTTGCAATGTGCAGTCTAGTTATCATCATCGCTGGTGTTTTCTCAGCCGCAAATATGACAGCTGAGGTCACATCTCTCTCTGTCTCTCACTCTCTCACCCCAACTCCACCCCCCCTCTCCCTTCCCCTCCCTCCCTCTCCCCCCTTTCCTGTGTGTATAGATATCTCTATATATACCAATCGACTCCTGCGAAAAAGCCATCGATTTATACCGACCAATCAACCCTGTAAGGAACAAGACCATTTGTCTATAGCTACTAGTGTTAGACTCAGTGTACGAACATCTTGTGAAGATATATCTTTGATTTTGACATTAAACATATAGTCAATATCAGTGTGTATAGAGCTAATATCAGCAGTGTATTTACCTGCATATACAGTATAGTTGTTTTTTTTTTTGCCTGGATATTCCTGCGCGGGCCCTAAGCCTCTGGCTGGCCCACTGCGCGGGCCCTAAGCCTCTGGCTGGCCCACTAAGTGTTGCTTGTTTCTGTTTTACTTGGGCGGAGTATGAGTATTTATGACTCGTATGGTCGCTTCAGTAAGACAGTATAGTTAATGGCAGTGTTCTAAATATACCTAAACTATCTCTCTCGATCGAGAGAGAGATAAATAGATTTTTTAGTAAATTTTGCGAATGTGTTTTATATTTTGCTCCACCATTGGTGGAGAGTCGGGGCCTCATGCTCCACCACTGGAGGAGAGTCAGGGCCTCATGCTCCACCACTGGAGGAGAGTCAGGGCCTCATGCTCCACCATTGGTGGAGAGTCAGGGCCTCATGCTCCACCATTGGTGGAGAGTCAGGGCCTCATGCTCCACCATTGATGGAGAGTCAGGGCCTCATGCTACACCATTGGTGGAGACTCAGGGCCTCATGCTACACCATTGGTGGAGAGTCAGGGCCTCATGCTCCACCATTGGTGGAGAGTCAGGGCCTCATGCTCCACCATTGGTGGAGACTCAGGGCCTCATGCTACACCATTGGTGGAGACTCAGGGCCTCATGCTACACCATTGGTGGAGAGTCAGGGCCTCATGCTACACCATTGGTGGAGAGTCAGGGCCTCATGCTACACCATTGGTGGAGAGTCAGGGCCTCATGCTCCACCATTGGTGGAGAGTCAGGGCCTCATGCTACACCATTGGTGGAGAGTCAGGGCCTCATGCTCCACCATTGGTGGAGAGTCAGGGCCTCATGCTACACCATTGGTGGAGAGTCAGGGCCTCATGCTCCACCATTGGTGGAGAGTCAGGGCCTCATGCTACACCATTGGTGGAGAGTCAGGGCCTCATGCTCCACCATTGACCCTGGGTGTATTGTCGCCATCTGAACACGGAGCTTTTTATGGTTACCATTGGTGCACACGGTTGCCATGGTGACGGGACTCGGCTACTGTGTGTACTCACCTAATTGTGCTTGCGGGGTGAAGGGGGGTTGAGCTCTGGCTCTTTGGTCCCGCCTCTCAACTGTCAATCAACTGGTGTACAGGTCCCTGATCCTACTGGGCTCTATCATATCTACACTTGAAACTGTGTATGGAATCAGCCTCCACCACATCACTGCCTAATGCATTCCATCTGTTAACTACTCTGACACTGAAAAAGTTGTTTCTAACGTCCCTGTGGCTCATTTGTCCCCTTGTTCGAGTACCATTCGTGTTGTTGTTGTTGTTGTTGAAGATTAAGCCACCCAAGAGGTGGCACGGGCATGAATAGCCCGTAAATTATAGATTTTTTGGAGAGAATGTGATCTTTGGTCGTGAATACTACCACCCGTGTTAAATAACCAGTCCTTATCTACCCTGTCAATTTCCCTGAGTATGTCGTACGTTGTAATCATGTCTTCCCCTAACTCTTCTGTCTTCCAGGCACGTGAGGTGGAATTCACGTAGCATTTCCTCGTAACTCGTACCTCGTAGTTCCAGAACTAGTTTTTTGGCCTACCTTTGAACCTTCTCCAACTTGGTCTTGTTCGTGACGAGGTGTGGACTCCATGCTGGGACCGCATACTCCAGGATTGGTCAGGTTATCTTGAGATGATTTCGGGGCTTTTTAGTGTCCCCGCGGCCCGGTCCTCGACCAGGACTCCACCCCCAGGAAGCAGCCCGTGACAGCTGACTTAACACCCAGGTACCTATTGTACTGCTAGGTAACAGGGACATAGGGTGAAAGAAACTCTGCCCATTGTTTCTCGCTGGCGCCTGGGATCGAACCCAGGACCACAGGATCACAAGTCCAGCGTGCTGTCCGCTGGGCCGACCGGCTCTGGTCTGACATATGGGGTATACAATATTATAAATGATTCATTACACAAATTTCTAAAAGCAGTTGTGATGTTAGCCAGCCTCGCATATGCCGCTGATGGTATCAGTTTTAGTTTGGGCTCATGAGACAAGTTTGGAGTGATGTCTACTGCAAGGTCATTCTCTCTGTCCGTGTCATGGAGGACTTCATCTCCCATTGGCTCTTGGCTCTCATCTTTCTGCTCCCGCCACCTAACTTCATTACTTTACAGTTATTTGAGTTAAACTCTAGTAACCATTTGTGTGTGTTTTTACTATTTGTGTCTAATGTACTGACTATCTATTTTCTTGTACCATATCTACTACATATATTTCTCTCTCACACACTCATCCCCAGGAAGCAGCCCGTAACAGCTTTCTAACTCCCAGGTACCTACTGCTAGGTGAACAGCGACATCAAGTGAAAGAAACTGTGCCAATTTGTTTGACTCAACCGGAAATCGAACCCGGGGCCTTAGGACTATGACCCCAGAGCGCTGCGAGGAGTGCGTGTGTGTACACTTACCTAACAGTGCATACTGCAAGGTGAAGTCCAGCTCCAGGAGAGTCAGTACTCAGTACACAGTACACAGTACACAGTACTCAGTACACAGTACTCAGTACACAGTACTCAGTACACAGTACACAGTACTCAGTACACAGTACTCAGTACACAGTACTCAGTACACAGTACACAGTACTCAGTACACAGTACTCAGTACACAGTACTCAGTACACAGTACTCAGTACACAGTACACAGTACTCAGTACACAGTACTCAGTACACAGTACTCAGTACACAGTACAAGGAGACACGCCAAGTGCCACCTTGTACCTACACTTTCCTCATAGTTTCACTTGTCTAATATGATCCTTAAGGGTGTGGCTGGAGGAGGCTTCTACAACTTGTGCGTGTTACACTCCACATGTTGACCAGCCCGGCACGTTACATTCCTCATGTTGACCAGCCCGGCACGTTACACTCCTCATGTTGACCAGCCCGACACGTTACACTCCTCATGTTGACCAGCCCGACACGTTACACTCCTCATGTTGACCAGCCCGACACGTTACACTCCTCATGTTGACCAGCCCGACACGTTACACTCCACATGTTGACCAGCCCGACACGTTACACTCCTCATGTTGACCAGCCCGACACGTTACACTCCACATGTTGACCAGCCCGACACGTTACACTCCACATGTTGACCAGCCCGACACGTTACACTCCTCATGTTGACCAGCCCGACACGTTACACTCCTCATGTTGACCAGCCCGACACGTTACCAGTATTTCCTTCTATTTCTTCATTTCATTAGAGTTTCCAGCATCCATCTACGTCCTCTTATTCTACTTTGAAGTTACTGACTATGTCTACGTTTTATATTCTTTTCAGTATCTTAAATGTCGTGAGCATGTCTTCTATTTCTTCGTTTCTGTAGAGTTGAGAGATGGAGCTTCCTTAAACTGTCCTTGTAGTTTAGTCCTCTTAGTTCCGGCACTAATCTTGCTGCGAACTTCTGGACTTTGCTTAATGTTGGGTTTATGCTTCACCAGGTGCGGACTCCAGGCAAGTGTGGTATATTCTAGCGTCAGTCTTATATAGGCTCAAGAAGTTGTCTTTACAGAGTTTTTATTTAAGATTTTGAAAGGTGTTCTAATGTTCCACCGTCCTGGCTATTGTCCCGGCTGGTGTACACCTGGCCGTGTACACCTGGCCGTGTACACCAGCCGCACCTCACGCACGCTATCAAGGGCTTTTGGGCAATAAAAGAAGATAATCTACCCAGATAAAGGAGCATAATCTACCCAGATAAAGGAGCATAATCTACCCAGATAAAGGAGCATAATCTACCTATTTAAAGGAGGATAATCTACCCTTAATGCTTGCTGTATTTCGGTCACCTTGTCACAGAACTCTGCCACGGCTTTCACTCGAATTTCAACAAATAAAGCTACACACTAAATGAATAACAGGCTGCTTAGGAAGGCTGAACTATAATTCCCTAACCTAACCTAACCTAACCTAACCTAACCTAACCTAACCTTATCTTACCTTACCTTACCTAACCTAACCTTATCTTACCTTACCTTACCTAACCTAACCTTCCCATCATTTGATAACACCGATATTTGTCATGAGTGTAGCGATGCTATGCTCCACACTGACATAAATCAGAGCTTTCAATGGACCAGAGAAGACCAGAGGATGGAGAGGGCAGACAAGATCCAGCTCCTGGCCCGGGGGTGTCAAGGAAGGAGCCGCACAGTCAACCACAGTCAAGCACAGTCAAGCACAGTCAAGCACAGTCAAGCACAGTCAAGCACAGTCAAGCACAGTCAAGCACAGTCAACCACAGTCAAGCACAGTCAAGCACAGTCAAGCACAGTCAACCACAGTCAAGCACAGTCAAGCACAGTCAAGCACAGTCAAGCACAGTCAAGCAACACTCTAGAAACCAAACACCGAGGGTGAAAACATCTGTGAGTTATCATGGCGGAAGACCTGAAGCGTCTTCAAGACCACAGTGAAGTGGCTGTGACAACTGCAAGAAAAATGGCAGGTTGGATAACAAGAATCTTTACCACGAGAGGTGCCAGACCAGTGTTGGTACCTTTTGGCACAGTGCCCCCTACTGTCTAGTAGGTGGTACTGTGGGTACTGGTGTTGTGTAGTAGGAGTACTGTGGGTACTGGTGTTGTGTAGTAGGAGTACTGTGGGTACTGGTGTTGTCTAGTAAGTACACTATATGTACTAGTACTTACATACGCCACATATACAAACATGAGCCGCCAACAGAGGTACAGTAGACAGTCTTCGCAGATAAAATAATAAACTGGAAAGACTGGCTCCGTCAGCAGGGCGAAACTGCCGGAGGCAGTCGGCAAGTTTAGAGTGGGTCTAGGGCGGAAAGTTGGGTTGGGGGGGGGGGGGGGAGAAGGAAGGGGGGAGGTTTTTTGGAGGTAAGATGGGAGGGGAGGAAAGGGGATGGGTGGAGTTGTAGGAAGGAGGGAGATGGAACAGTATAAGTAACAAATGACAGAATAAGCAGAATCAAAAAGTCAGAATATTCGGTAACCCAACCACCGACACGCAGCACTTGATTGACCAGCTGAGAGGCGGGACCAAAGAGCCAGAGCTCAGCCCCCCCCCCCCGCAAGCACAACTAGGTGTGTACACGGCTCTGTAGTCCATCCAGCCTCCCAAAGCGACACAGCGATACGGGCCGAGAAACATAGAAACATAGAACAATACCAGCCAGCGAGGGTATAGTGGCGGACGTGTCTAGCTACGGGACGTGTGGGTGCTGTAACGTATGGAGTGTGTGGCACAGATCTGGTGGCACAGATCTGGTGGCACAGATCTGGTGGCACAGAGGTCTGGTGGCACAGAGATCTGGTGCCACAGAGATCTGGTGGCACAGAGGTCTGGTGGCACAGAGATCTGGTGGCACAGAGATCTGGCGCCTGTCTCTACCACAATGTCTTCAGCCGACGCATCATCACACGTGCTAATTTTAGGGATGGTCAAAAATGCTGATTTTAGGGTTGATCAGAAATGTTGATTTTAGGGATCAGAAAT